CTGTTTTTTAAAGCCATCATTTATTACTTGCCTACCAGGGCCACTGTTACCTGCTGCCATATACATTATCACAGCTAATCCTGTGAGGTAGCTACGTGCCAGGAAACTGCAGCTCAGAGAAGGTGATTTACCTGCTTAAGCTCACACAGCTGGTCTCTGCCAGAGCCTTGGTGCAAACCCAGGTGTCTGATTCCAAAGCTCCCTGCAACCCCCACTTTCTGCCCCGAGGGTCGGCTTGGCTTTGGAGTAGAGGGAACAGTGTAGGCCGCAGGCACACCTTCAGGACGGCATGCAGTCATGGCAGAAGGCTTGCCAGTGCAGAGACTGGGAGTTGTTTTTTAAAGCCATCATTTATTACTTGCCTACCAGGGCCACTGTTACCTGCTGCCACATACATTATCACAGCTAATCCTGTGAGGTAGCTACGTGCCAGGAAACTGCAGCTCAGAGAAGGTGATTTACCTGCTTAAGCTCACACAGCTGGTCTCTGCCAGAGCCTTGGTGCAAACCCAGGTCTGTCTGATTCCAAAGCTCCCTGCAACCCCCACTTTCTGCCCCGAGGGTCGGCTTGGCTTTGGAGTAGGGGGAACAGTGTAGGCCGTAGGCACACCTTCAGGACGGCATGCAGTCATGGCAGAAGGCTTGCCAGTGCAGAGACTGGGAGGAAGAAACGTCTCTGGTGGAGCTCAGAGATTGCTTTGTGTGAAGTCCAGTAATGCACCTATGAATTTTGTCCCTGTGACTGATCAAAAAGCTCTAGCTCCATGTGCCTCAGTCTCCTCTTGTGAATAAGAATAGCGATCACACTAACACCCCTGGATTGTGAGCATGGGTGTACACACAACCCTGGGCTATTGAGCACCTGGTCCTGGAAATAAGGACCCAAGGCATGGCCTTCCTCTGGCAGAAGTTACTTAAGAGCCTAAACAGCCTAAATTAGGGCCTGGCCCCACACTTGTGTGCTTACCAATCCTTCCTCGGTCCTCACCTGTGTCCTTGTGTCCTGACTCAGTGTTCCACCGTTCAGGCTCAGGGTTTGTACTGCTGGGTTGTAGTGTCAGAAGCACTATCCCTGCAACAAGATGATAAGAATTCAAATCTGAAAACCTTCCCTTAGAAATTTCTGACAGATTCCCATGCAGTTATGCAGTATTGTTTCATGGATTTAAATATTCTATATTTCAACAGTCTGGTTCCTACTTCAATTGAAATAAGCGAATTTATTTTTTCAAAGTGTTCTTACAATGAAAATTTTGAAAGCAAAGCGGTAATTCATTTGGCTAGAAGTAACCCATCTGCTGCAGGAGGAGAAAGCTTGGAGACATGTTGTGGATTGGAATTAATTTTAATGCCACCCTCTGAATGTGGTCATGGTCACAGCAAGACCTTAAATGTGATTTTTATGCTATTCATGGTTATTTTGGAAGGGATTATTTAATTCCCAGTTTTCTATTTTATAGATAGCAATTCAGTTATGTAAATAAATGTCCAGAACTCTTTTTGGCTTTGAACTTACCCAATAATCTCTTACAAGAAATACTGTTAGGTGAGGAAGCCGAGTGCTGCTAATGTCATTGTTTGTGTGTATAGATAGCAATTCAGTTATGTAAATAAATGTCCAGAACTCTTTTTGGCTTTGAACTTACCCAATAACCTCTTACAAGAAATACTGTTAGGTGAGGAAGCCGAGTGCTGCTAATGTCATTGTTTGTGTGTCAGTCTTGGACAGATCACTATTTACAATGGAATATGTCAGAGTATCCGGGCGTGAAGACTGTTCGATTCCCAGATGGCCAGATTTGGAAACCAGACATTCTTCTCTATAACAGGTAAGCACACTGGACAAAAGGAAAAGTGGTTATGTGCTCACATACATGGAACAATCTGGCATATTTGAATATTTTACAGAAATGCTGGGCAAGTTATCTGCAATTTGGAACCAGTGCTCCCCATGAAGCTTTCTGTGTGGCCATTTGAGAGGCAGCTCTGCCCCACTGTCAGTCTTCTCTGCTTTGGTGTGCTGGCTCAAGTTGCCCAACACCCCTCCTGGGATGGCCCCATCCAAAGGGTCAGGTGCATAGTGTTGCTTCTGTTCATATTGGCACATGGGGCATTCTTGCATAAGGCGGTGCCTTTGCTACTTGACTGGCAGTGGTTACGATCTGCAGCACAAGGCGCCTGCCCATGGGACACAGGCTGGAGTCTATGGTTTGGCCCCCTGTCCTCGTTTGATATGTCCCTGTTGTGCATTGGAGAGGTCAGCAGCAGAGGTGACTGAGTGTGCTAGGACTATCCTCTCCAACTGCACGCAGAGCTTGCGTACCTGACAGAAAGAAGAAAGGTGGATAATAATTGCATTCTGATCGTCTTTCTCACAAGGCAAGAAATAAGGGATCTGCTATGGGTCAAATGTGTCCCCCAAAAGTTCACATATTGGAAACTTTATCTCAATGGTAACAGTGTTAAGATGGTGCAAAATCTGATTATGGTATTTGAAAGGTGGTGCCTTGGAAAGGTGATTGGATTGTGAGGACTGTACTCTCATGAATGGGTTGACCCATTCATGGGGTTCTGATGGCTTTATGAGGAGAGCAAGCAAGAAACCAGCCATTTTCCATGTGATACCCTTAGTTGCGGTAGAGATTTCCCACCAAGAAAAGCCCTCACTAGATGCGCCCTTCTGAACCATGGACTTCCCAGCCTCTGATACTGTAAGAAATCAATTTAATTTCTTTATAAATTACCCACTTTCAGGTATTCTGTTATAAGCAACAGAAACAGACTACTATAGGATTTGTTAGGAAATCAAGGCAGTCTGATTTGCAGACCAGATGCCCAAAAGGCAGGAATGTAGGCAGAGTACATTTCTAGAAGCAATAAAATTATTTGTTAAACCATGTAGTAAAATAAGAGAACCAAGAACATTGGTTCCCAATGAGGACTCAAATGTGATAAGCAGTGGGATATAAAAGAAAGTTATTTCGTGATGATGGCTGCTGCCTCTGGTCCCAGCTGGAGGGAGAAGGAAGCCCAGGGGACGGTGGGACCATCTGCCACTGTCCTCGATGGTCACTCAGTGATCTCCAGGACCAGCTGACATGTTCCTCCCACATGGCAACTTCCAGGAGGCTGGTGATTCCATTTCTCGTATCAATTTTTAATTCTTTCTCTGTTCTTGCTGTCGGAGGTCACATTTTCCTTGAATCATTGGGCCTATCTCTAGAAGAGTATCACCTTCTGATTTGCTGTAACTCTTCTGCTCCTTAAATTATTTCAGACTGAGCTTGGAAAAATATCTGTTGAGTGGTGAAGCACATGCACCTGTTTCTCAGGAGCTGTATCAGTTTGCGAGACTGCTGTAACAAAGTACCATAGGCGGGGAGCTTAAACAACAGAAATTTATTCTGTCACAATTCTGGAGGTCAGCAGACTGAGATCAGGGTGTTGTCAGGGCTGTTTTCTTGTGATCCTCTCTCCTTGGCTTGCAGATGGCCGCCTTCTGACTGAGTACTCACAGGGTCGTCCCTCTGTGTGCGTCTGCATCCTCATCTCGATTAGGGCCCATCCTAATGACTTCATTTTACCTTAATTACCCTTTAAAGTCTCTATCTCCAAATACAGTCACATTTCAAGGTACTGGGGGTTAAGACTTCAATATGTGGATTCGGGGGAAACAAGTTAGATCCTAACAAGCGCACTGCAGGTGATGCTTAAGGGCAAGTGAAGGGTCAGGGTTGAACAAGCCTGGTTGTAAATCTTAGCCATAATATTTACTGTCTCTAGCACCTATGAGACTTAGATTTCTCTTTTGCAGCATGTGGGAAATGCCAACCATACAGAGTTTGGAAGGAAAACTCTGCAGAGTACACCTGTAGCAGGTTCCTCAGCCAAGAGTAAACATTCAGTAACGGCAGCTGTGTGCTCACAGGCAGGATGAAGAGGATTTCTGCTTAGAGTAATATGGTAATTTAACACTTTAAAAAGAAACATCCATGTTTTCCATAGTTCCCAATTCAGTTTTTTTTATCTGAAATCAAGAATAAATATTATAATATGGCAGAATCTTAATAATGAGAGATGTCTGTTAACTCCAAAACATGAAGTGTGTGATAATGGCAACATTCTGGTTAATGAAGAATCACCAAGTGGTAACTGAATTTCAGGAGCAGAGATACAGCAATCTCTGCCTAACAAATGTCTCCAGGGACAAGGCCCTGAGGAATAATGCCACCCTCTCCATGCCTGACCCAGGTGATGGCCCAGACCTTGTTCCTGTCACATCTCCCCTTGGGCTCTGCTTAGCGATCTTCCTCTCTCCTCTTCTCCCCAGACTTCTGCCTTGTTTTCTGCTTCAGTTTTTCTGGGAAGTGGGATGCAGGACTTCCTTGGTGGCTGGGAGTGGTCGGAGAGGCAGGGAGTGGGTACCACCGGGTGAGTATGGCAGTCTCAGGTCAGCCATTCACCATGTTCTGCTGGGGAGAGTGGGTAGGGTCCCACCTGAAGTCCAGGGAGGGAGACCAGCCCCATCTCCCTAGGCCATGTGATCTTGGGGGGGGGGCTCTCTCCCATACAGGAGGTCCACATGAGCTCCCTCTGGGCGAGAGATGCCCACCCCTCCTGTCACCCCTTCCATCCTCAGCTACGCTACAATCCCAGCCCTCCAGGGAAACCTCCCAGGACGCCCCCACACCTGCAAGCCTGTTTCTCTGCCACACGCTCTCATAGAAAGGGGCTCCTGTCCCCTATAACACTTAGGGTCTGCCACCTCTTACAGGCACCTACCAGAGCACTCAATACATACTTGTGCAAAGACGAGATGGAGGGAGGAAGGGAGACGCAGGAATTAAGAGGAGAAGGGAAGAGGATGGATCGGCATGCTACAGCGTGCCAAGAACAGCAAGAGAAAAAGGGAAAGAAATCACACTGACAAGCTAGAAAACATTTCACTGTGACTGAGTCCAAACACTGACACAGGAAGTAGCAAAAATAGGCTTGACTTTAGTAAGATCCTGGTCTTCTGTTATTGGGGATTTTGAGAGATGTTGAACCTAAGACTTTCTGCCAGCTGCCAGGCACTCAAAGTCATGTGTTCTGTTCAGTTGACTTGTCTGTTGATTCATTAACGTATGAATGGAGGTATCAGGGCTTTTCCTGAAGGAGGAGGTTAAAATACCCTCATTCTGCGTAAGCCATGGCTGTTAGATGAACCTTGAGTTAGCCCAGGTGAAGCCTCCCAATCATGTCATTTCTTGCTCTATTCCAGTTTGGTACTGGAATCCACATGAGTCAGTAAGAGTTTTGAGATGTAATTCATTTTCTGGGCTTTGAAGAGCTGGGTCACTACAAAACAGCCATCTCTGCATCATTTCCGTGACGGATGGTGGATGAATGTGGTGCCTCCAACCAGCTGGCTGGTCGCTCCAGGAGAGGGTGGGCACTAATAAAAGCTTCTGTGCCTGGTGCTGATCCCAGTCATTTCTTCGTTGCTTTATTCTTCAAGCCTGCGGCTCAAGGATTTTCTGAACACAATCTTGCTCAAAGTGAGCAGCACTTATGCATGGCTTGTCACGATTTCCCTCTTTGGATGGACTTAAAGGCCTTGCTGGTCTCAGCAGTTAGCATGCAGAAGGAAAGTCTGAATCCCAGAGACACCACAGACACCCCTGCGCCAGGCCACAGCAGCAGCAGTCTCAGCCTTCCTGGGCTTCTCCACTTTTGGGTTGTTTGGTCAGAAAATTCTGTAGCCATGATGAAAATCTTTTTTGATGAATATATTTAAAAAGGTTTTTGTCGACTCTGAACTTTTAGCACAGCACAGGGTGTCCACCATCCCTTCTCACAGACTGTGCAAAGCTACGTCCCCACATCTGCAGGTTCATGCCTGTCCTTCCCACATTCCCATGACCCTTTGGCTGATGGCAGAGCCTGGGGAGAGGTGGTGTGTGCAGGACACACTTAGTGTGGTGGGATCCCGCCTATAAGGGCTTGTACTTGTGCTAATCAGTGAGTTGCCATTGAAGTAGAATTTATTCCCTTGCCAAGTGTTTTAGGTTCCCACAAAGTCAAGCCAAGACGAAGATTTCAGTGTACATGGTTTATTTGGGAGTGACACTGAGGAGCACTGTTAGGGGAGAGGAAGTGGGACAGAGAAGGGAGGGAGACAGTATAAGGCACATGGAAAAGAAAACTAGTGCTGTGGGCGGCAGGCCCATTCCCACTGTGTGCCTCTGGGAGACTGAGTGTAGCATGTCTCAGAGCTGTCCCGAGGAAATTGGGGTGTTGTCCACCTGCTGCCTTCAGGCATAGGCTGGGAGCTGTTTCCAGGGCGTGCCTCTGGGAGACTGAGTGTAGCATGTCTCAGAGCTGTCCTGAGGAAATTGGGGTGTTGTCCACCTGCTGCCTTCAGGCATAGGCTGGGAGCTGTTTCCAGGGGTGTTGGCTCCCTGGCACCTCTGGCTGGCCTGCCCCATGCGTGGATCAAGGGCAGAGCTGCAGGTGTGTGGGCAGGTAGATGCCAGGGCCTTGGGTACAGCGAGGACAGCTGCCGCTGTGGACCACTGCAACATGAACAGTGCTCAGTCAAGCCCTGTCACTTCCACCCTTGTGAGATGGTAGGTCCACTCCCTGCTTCTGGTGGGAGGACAGTAGCAGTGGGGCTGGTAGGAGCGCATCCTAGGAGCAGGTGGGGTGGGGTGTTCTCAGTGGCTAGAGGAGGCAGGCAGGTAGTAAAGGCAGCTGGGCTGGAGAAGACCCCAGGCCTGCATCCTAGTGAGTGACACTGGCTCTGCTGTGGGCTGCGTTGTGTTTGTTGTGGTATTACTTGTGGACT